CCCCCTCTCCCCCTAGTTGACGTCAACCAAATGCACATGTACACTTAGACAGAACCTGCTCTAATCTAGCTTCTAGCAGTCTGTGTTATGGGGAGATAACTGTTAATTTCAGTTATTATAAGGCCCAAAAATTAATATGGCCCAACTTTACTGTGTTAATTTTAGGCCAAGAAAATGTGGTCTATAACATTATGTTCTTTTCCTTTCTTCTATTTTCCTTTCTTTTCTTTTCCTTCCCCCCTCCCCAATGACAACTTTTGTTAACTTTTCGGTCTGTTGAGATTAGGTTGAAAAAACAAAACCCAACAACACACAATATAAATCATATAATATTATAGAAGTGGAACTCCCGAGTTAGGTTCGGCTGGAAGAGAACGAAAAGCAGCAGATGATCGTTGTATAAGGAACAGTGAAGTATAAATGAATTGAATTTAACTTACATATACGATACTAAAGATAGTACACTTCGGAAGTTTATTTTGGTGTTTAAAAGGCACCATCGACAATCCATAGTTAATAATATTATTACATAATGTACTAGTATATAAATTATAATACAGCCTTTGGGACAGATAAAAAAGTTGGGTTTTTCTGAAACTTATAAGAAATTATGGCCAAAGTAAATATCGACAGCCCAATGCGTAACCCTTAAAATGCTGAAGCGGATCCTTTTACGTTTGTAAAGACGAGACAGAATGTTGATGCAAGAGAGTTTTATCTTAAGCAAAGCAGCTATGTGTGTCCTCTTCAAAAGAATAAGAAAATGCACACGTTTCAATACATTTTCAAAAATATTCTCTATAAACCCGTAGAAAAAATGGCAGTATAGGCCTGTTTGTGAGAACACTTGTCAGTACACTTAGATCTACGCCTGAACAGCAGTGAAGAGTTAAAACAATTTTAAAACATCATTCGAGCATAACAATATAACATCATGGTTTTATAAAAGAGGCTCTGCATAGATTTATATACAGCATTGAACTAAAATGGAGTTCTTTTAAAACAACACCAGCTTTTTTTACGCACAAGAAACGCCATTACGTAAAAAGAGTATAAACAGACAACATATATTATATAGATGTCGCTACTGTTATTTTAGAGTATGACATGTTTAATTTCTCAAAAAGAGGAACGAACCGGCTATATAGTTTTATTAATCTTTGACGACGTACAAGAGACATGCAACGACGAGGCAATAAGCAGGAAATATCGACTTTTCCTGAATATTCCGGGAGCCAGGTATATTTTGGTATGAATTGACGTAATTAGCCACATGCACAGCCATCACAGGTTACAAGGGGAGCGGGAAAATACCGTACAAACATAATTGTATATTACCCTGGATGCGGATCTTCTTTGTCTGCTCAAGGTTTCAGGTTTAATATTTAACAAGGGATTGTTTTTAGTAACGTTTCACCTTCCTCAGAAAGCTAGCATGACGTCACAATAACTCTTTTTTTTCTATTTACCTGCTTAGTACCACGGAGACAAACAATGACAATAAAGTTCGCCAAATAAATGTATATTAATTACA